GATCACAGCTGCTTTTTTAAAACACTACCTCTGTTTTCTTCTCTTCTTGGCTCCTAGGTGCTAACTTATTTTCACCATCAAAAGAGAGTTCGGCAGGGAGTGGAAGAGATGCTTTACAGACTGTATAAGCCCATCCTTTGGAGAGGGTTGAAGGTATGCAGTTCAGTAGCCTGTCGTGTTTGGCATGTGCCGATGATGCTGTGAACTCAGCATGCTCTAATTCAGAAATGTAATAAGGCAATAAAAATAGGACTGGAGGCTGGGGGCTTCGTGAAATTTGGGGACATCTTTTTCTCATATTAAAAGCATTAAACTGGGAGTCTGATTTGGCTTAGTGCTGACTACATAGTTGGAAGGGGACTAGTCATGCTAACAGCAGAGGTGTGGGGGTTCTGCAGAGCTGGGCAGGGCTGTCCTGGTCCCTTAAGACCTCCTGCTGGTGACTGGGAGCCAAGATGACAACACTGAGTGTTTAAAGGACCACACCAGTGATTTTCAGCACAGGTAACTGGTGTCGGGAGTGGGATATGATGGTCTCTGTGTCGTAATGACACAAGGTGGGTTTCGAAGCAAGAAAATGGCTCTTTTTATATCTATCAACACTGAACTGAGGGTTTGGCTTAGCTTAAGGAAGGTCTCGCAAGTGCAGTTAATTTAAATGTTAGAATTGTCTTTAATTTGTAAATGTGTCTGTGTTGTGAGGCTCGGAGCTTTATTCCAAGAACTCTACACTGAAGCCTTTGAACGACATCTCTGTGGATCCTGAAACTGTTCTTTCATTATTGTAGGCCAGAAACTCTGAAGTCCGGTCAAATGCTGCACTGTTGTTCGTTGAAGCATTTCCTGTTAGGGATCCAAACTTCAATGCCATTGAAATGGATAGTGAAATTCAGAAACAATTTGAAGAACTCTATGTACGTATTTCATGTGGCCGAGCTCCTTATGGCGTCAGCTCTGTCTGGGTCTGGTGTATGTCTTAGCCGTCCCCCTCTATCTGCCTGTGCCCTGCCCACCAGATGGCAAGCTATCCAGATTTTACATTCTTCAAGGGACCTGTCTTCCCCGGTGCCTTCTGCTGCAGCGTGGGCCTGCAGTGCCCTTTTCTGTTCTCATCATCTCTTTTGGAACATCTGATTATTGTAGTAATTTTAAGCATTTTATGTGTATGCTTGTCTCCCCAGAAGAGAAGACTTCCTCCTTGCATGGTAAGTTGGTCACGATTTGATGTACATGGACAGGGCTGATCATCAGATAGGATTCCCCTTAGGTTCTTTGTGTGAGAGAAAAGCGGGCCTGGTGACCCCGTTACCTCGTGGTTGGCGTTCTTGCCTTTCCTTTTTCCCGTGTGGAGGTTTTAGGGTTATTACTGGCTCTGTGTGCTTCTCTGGCCCCCAGTATCTGTTCTGAGAACTTTTCCCTGTAGATTGTTTAGCCTGGGGGCAAATGCTTACCCCAGAACCACCACCCGGTGTCTGTAGAGGTGTTTGTGGCCCTCATATCACCTGTGGTCCTGGCCCCAGGTTTGGTGCTGGTCTGAGCTCTGCAGGACACAAGAATGTGCAGTCACAACCTTTGCTGCTCCTTTCTCCGTGAATCTGTCTCTTTTCACTTTCTTTCTCATAGAAACTCCTCAGTTTTTGTTTCCGGCATCGCTATCTCTATTATTTGTCATTTTGGAGAGATTTTAGGGAGGAGAGAAGAAGTAAGTACTTACTCATTCCAACTTGAAGCTCACATGCTTTTTTTTCTGATTGCGGAGTAAGAATTAATTTGTTCTTAAAGTTTTACAATAGAAACTTTTACACGTAATAAACCATAGAGAGCCTGGCATATAATGACCCCCATGTACCCATAACAGCTTCAATAATTCCTGACCTAAGCCTAATTGATTTCTTTTTCCCTGCTTCTGAAGCAGATCAGTTCAACTTAAATAGTTTGGTAGGTATTACTAAAACATAGGGACTTTTTTTTTTTTTTTTGCCTCATAATCAGTACCATTGTAAGAAATAAAGAAAGATGAATCACGATTCCTTAATGTCATCAAACAAATACCCAGTCATTGTTTTCCAGTGATATTTCAATGAGGTTTTTTCAGTTTGGTGCGAACTTCTCTCCATCGAGACCCGTACGTTGTGACTGGTCAGTGCTGTCCGTTCTCTTGCCAGCCGTCCCTCCTCCTTGCTCTCTTTTCCTCCTCGCTGTTTTTGTTGTTGAGGGAGCCAGGCTACGCCTTCGTTTCCCACAGTCCGGCTTCTGCAGAACCTGCAGCATCAGGGTGCTCCTTTGCCCTTTGTGTTCTCTGTAAATCGATAGTTAAATATCAAGTTGCTGAGAGTCACGTTTTTGTGGGGGTCTTGTGTATTTCCATCGGGAGTACATGATGTCTTGACTCTGTTTTATTAGCAACCACCGATGACCATTGTCTGGGTTGTCATTATAAGTGGAATTACTTTATTCTGGGCTTTGTGCATTTCAGGACTTTGGGAATTCAAGTTAGTGGCTTCTGTAGGCTGTGTCCAGTAGCGTCCACCAGGATCTCTGCACAGCCCTCTGAATGGTGGAGCCGGCTTTGGGGGCTCTGTTGTCAGCAGAGCCCCGTGGATGGGATTGGCAAACAAGGCACCACAGGTGCCTGCACTGTCCTCTTTAAATACTCAGCTGTGCAAATGATAAATGATCAGAGACCCAGGAGTCTGCACATGGCTGGTATTTCTAAAGCTTCCAATATCTGTTAAGTTGCGAATGCCCAAAGTGCTAATGGGTGAAGCAGATCTTGATACAGACGGAAAGGATATAAGATTTTTAAGGCTTTTTCCCTTCTTTCTTATAGAGCCTTTTGGAAGATCCTTATCCGATGGTCCGTTCTACAGGGATACTCGGTGTTTGTAAAATAACTTCCAAATACTGGGAGATGATGCCTCCCACCATTCTCATTGATCTCCTCAAGAAGGTAACTGGGGAACTGGCATTTGATACAAGCTCGGCCGATGTGCGCTGTTCTGTCTTTAAGGTAAGATTTAAAATGACATAAGCAATTTTTATTTATTGTAGAAAAGTTAGAAAACCCAGAGAAAGGAAAACTTAAAAATCACCGGTCATCCTGCACAGATACGGCACTATTGACATTTTATTGTATATACAAAGTAAGGTTTTATAGACTAAATTGAAAGTGTTTTCTACAAAAAATACCTACTAGAAATAGTTTTTAGTGTGTGTGGGGGAGTGAGCACAGCATTTTAGAATAGGAGCTGTATGTATTTAAAAATTTTTAAAAATTATTGTACATTAAAGCTGACTTTTCTGGCATAGTATACGTACTTTTAGTAAGAACCTCTGCCGTCATCTAGTTTCAGCAGTCAGGATACATCCAGTCTTGTTTCTTCTGTACCCCCAGCCATTGTCTCCCATGCTTACTTTGAAGCAAATCCCAGACACTGTATCAGTTCATGCATTTAAATATGATCTTTAAAGTATAAACTCTCTTAAAAAAAAAAAATCCCTTTGCTAATAACTGGAAAGGGGAGGCGGTGGAGTGCATCAGATCTTCTGACAAGCCTGAGTAAGTCGCTTGGCCCCGCCACTGGCACGAGCGTGGAGACAGCATATGGGGTATGGGTCCGACAGGCTTGGGGGCCCTGTGCCTTCTGGGTTTCATGTGGGATCAAGTTGGGAGGTACAGAAAACGAATGTACAAAAGGGTTCTGGGACTGAGGCTTTGGAGCCCACCCCACCCGCTGTTCTGTGTTCCCTTCTACCCTAAAACCTCTGAAACCTACTGAGAATAAGCATTGAAACATCGTTTTATGACTGCTCGAGTCTTGTGTGAATGAAATGATGGAGGAACTGATTATCAGTCATTGAAACTATACTAATTCATTAAACATATGCTTTTTATATGAAACTGTTAGAGAAAAGTGTTATTTTCTGGAGGTATGTTTATTTCACTAGCTGTTTCAGTAAAGGAGGAACTCAAGTGTTTTCTTACCTGAATTTTCTAAACTGAACTCTTTTTTTGTTTATGTTCTAATTTTGAACTGTTACCTTTTTCCTTGTAGTGTCTGCCGATACTTTTGGATAACAAATTAAGCCACCCGTTACTAGAACAGCTTTTGCCAGCAGTAAAATACAGTCTCCATGACAATTCAGAGAAAGTGAGAGTGGCTTTTGTTGATATGCTGCTGAAAGTTAAAGCCGTGAGGGCTGCTAAGGTAAGGTCCACAGGATCTTTCTCAATAAGACACAGAATAAGTGAGTACATTGTTACCATCAACAACAACAAAAAAACAAAACGGTTTTAATTCCAAGAGTTTTAGTAATCCCAGTTTAAACTAATTGATGTCTGGTATAGTCTACCAATTGTTACTGTCAAAATTTTGCTTGTTTTATGATTCGTTGAAGTTTCTAGAAATACCAATTTGTTTTTTCTTTTTTTTGAAAGACAATGTAAGCACCTACCTTAAGTTTTATTTTTGTCATAGACGTGAAAGGATTTTTTTAGAAATATTTAAATGCTTGGCACATAGTAAGCAATTAAACATTGCTTGGAGAAATGTTGAACAGGCGATTCCACATCCCCTGCATCTTACAGAAGGGAGCACAGAGGCACTCGTTTGACTGACGGTCATGTACGTGCGACGTCTCTCTTTAACTATAGTTGTTTAGCTTTTGTTAGCTAAATGTTAGTTATAACATCCTTAACTTCCTTAGTATTTGTGAGTTTTCTTCCTCCACATGATACTTTTCTGAAATTTACTTTAAATACTGCTTTTTCACGGCCCGGGATTTGGTAGCAGGCTGACACCCCCGTCAGTACGGGGTCAGCTGCTCAGGCCTGTGGTGTGTTGGTGCAGCGAGGCAATGCTGTGTGAACATGAAATAGGACGAGCTCACGTGGAGTAACCGCCAGGACAGAGTGAACGCAAGTGTCGTTGTGTGTAGTGTGCCGCCAGCTGTATAAAACGAGGCCACACGTACAGATTTGCTCAGACACACACACAATATCCCTGGAAGGAAGCAAGAAATGAGGGACGGTCACCTGCGTGGGAGGGATTGCGTGTCTGGGGAGGCCTCATCACTGCATCGGATATGTATTGTTTTATGCATTTTGAATTTCAAACTGTGAATTTTTTTTATATTTAAAAAATATTTTGTGTGACCTACGTAGTAAGAACATCCATGTCACCCCTAGTCTCAACTGCCTCAGTACTTTTGTTGAAAATCAGCTGACTGTGGACTTGCTGCGTCCTGTTCATCTGTCGTTTCTCGCTAGGCCAGGCGGCACTGCCCAGGTGGCTTTTCAGGAAGGCTGGTCGTGTGAGCGCTGTCCTCCAGCCCTGTTCTTTCAGAGTTCTGTGGCTGGCCTAGGTCCTTCGCATTTCTATATAGATTTTAGGATTAGCATGTCAATTTCAACCAAAAAGCTGGTTGCAGTTTTGAATGAATTTATTATAGCAGCCTATTAAAATTGTAGTTCTGAATCCGAAATGGGAATTTTTGGCTTAGTATTGTGCTCAAACTGTAAACCTGCTTGCAAAAGATTATTGAAATGACGGCTGCTGAGGAAATGAGAGCATTTGTTTTCCCTTTGTTAGTGGGTCCACCCGAGAGAATGGGAGAGACAGGTAGGACAGGGACAGCAGTTCTGTGCTGGGGAGCGCGGACTCTGTGTTTTGGTGAGGGGCTTCTTTCATCTTAACCCTTAGCTCTGCAAAGATGAGGCAGAGCGTGGCTAAGCAGTGAGGTCTCTGCAAAGGCTTTTGATGGGCACACACGCCGATTCTTGAAAATCTGGGTCGGATTGGTGGATGTGTGGAGAGGCAGCTAACGGGATGTGGGTGGCTGATTGTCCACCAGGTCGGAGTGACGCGGCAACGTGCTGCTGTCAGGCGCCGGTCGTGCTTGGGTGCTTGTGGACGTGGTTGCGCAGTTGTGGGTCTCTTGCATCCAGTATTAGAGCCGGAATGCGAGTTGCCTTTTCTCTTTATTTCCTTTGTAAGCCGTGATAGGACTGAGCTCAGAGAGGCTGGTGCCGTGTTTGATTCTCAGAGGCCTCGGGCAGAATGACTGGTACGTAGTAGATGATCGAAGGGGTTCAGGGCAGAGGTGGGCCCTGGAAGGAGGCGGGAGACTCAGGTAGAGTTCTGTGTGTGGGCTCTTTGTTCTAAGGGTTGGGGTAACATACTGATGAGAAATGTCCAGTTGAAAATACTGGAAAGAATGACCGTTAACAGCCAGGTCCTTGAGAAAGAGATACCGGTGATGGTAGCCCATTACACAGGTGAGGAAACTGTTTGGAGGGTAAGTATTTGCACAGAACTACTAGCTGATAATGACTGAGACGGGAATTGAACACTTCACCATTAGTCTGTTTTCTTCTTCTTATACTGTGATATTTTCCTCTTATCTTGAATTTCTTGCTTAGAAGTTTGGCCCTTTTACTGTGGGCAGTGGACAACTTTGATGCTTTTGAGCAGAGGGCCAGTAAGACACTTCCGATCTATGCGGTTCCCCGGCAGCAGTGAGGTGGGCTGGAGGAAGCCACGTGGTCACCTAGGCAGACTGGCACTGAGAGGGCGGGTGGGTGTGCCTGCAAGAGGGTGCCACTGCGGACCCTCTGTCTGGGTGGCCTTGGGCATTCCCGAGGGAGATGGGGATCCACTTTAGCTTTCTATGTCGAAACCATTGTAAAATTTCTAATTCAGTTGTCACATTAATGGGCCGAAAGTTAAGGTGTCTTAGGAAATTTTTAAATGATTAGACTGATAAACACAGCTCTCATTTGAGTTTACTGTGCAACAAGCACGGTGCTAATTAATTATAATTACCCCCCAGCAACCTTATACCTAGGAACGTTATCCATCAGTGCTTTTTAAAACATGGATTTATTAATTCTCATGTCTCCACAGAAGTGTCATAGATTCTGGTACAGTCATTTGAGATGAATATTCTTAAATATAAAAGTTAGTTCCTTTTTGATGACACTCTGGCAATTTTGCTTAAAATGTTTTCAAGATTACAGGAACAATTGATGGTTTCCTTCTGCATCCATGCTTTATACAGTTTTGGAAAATATGTCCCATGGAGCACATTCTGGCCCGTCTGGCATCAGATTCCCGGCCTGTGTCTCGACGCCTGGTGAGCCTCATCTTTAACTCTTTCCTGCCCGTGAACCAGCCCGAGGAGGTGTGGTGTGAGCGCTGTGTCACACTGCTCCAGATGAACCGCGCAGCCGCCAGGAAGTTCTACCAGTACGCCCACGAGCACACTGCCTGCACCAACATAGGTACTGACACGGCGTCCCCGTGCGTGTCCTATGTTCTCCACAGCGAGCACTCCGTGCGCTCAGCGCTGGTCATTTTAAAGCTTTGTGCATCAGTGCGTTTCTTAATGGTTTCCCTTAAATAATACTGTTAGTGTTAGGGGAATTGTAATTTTGCTATTAGAAAGATAATTTTGTTGAGGAAACATGTAAATTAATTATCGATTCTCCTGCACGTTTTAGCAAAGCTGATTCATGTGATTCGCCATTGTTTAAACGCCTGCATCCGGAAGGCCATCAGGGAGAGCCAGGAGGATGGCGAGGAGCGGGAGAAGGAGGACGTGAGTGTAAGTGGCCACGGTGCCCGAGGCGGGCCGGGCGGGCCTTCTCCCTCGCTGCTGAGAAAAAGGCAGAGCGTCAGGTCAACGGTGTCATTTCCATAGACTGTTACGGAGGGCAGCCCGCCCCCAGAGACCCCCCAGTGGCTAGAGTGAGGGAATCCAGGGCCACACAGCCTTCATAAACAAAGCGCGTTACCCCTTTGCTGGCGTACTGCGCAAGCCCACACTTTGTCTGCGCTTCTCACTAATTAACACCGAACCTAAGGTCTTTGTCCTGTCAGCGCTTCACAACTGTGTTATTTCTTTGTCTAAAAAGTATAAAAAGCTGGCCGGCTCAGCCTTTCAGAGACCATCATTTATACACACGTTAAATTGGTTTTCCTCTTGTTAATCTGGTTCTAGGTCAGTTTATTATTATACCAGACTTTGGAACTCAAGAATGGAAAGGAGAGAATTATTCCCCCCTCACCTTCACCCATAGGAATATTTGAAAAATTGATTTCTTTAGTATTGACATTTCAGCTGGTAATTTTGGAGGGTCATAAATCATGCTTTTGAAAGAATTGTTGTATATTTTTTGTCATTCATTGTGGAGTTTGAGTGGGTTTAATACAGAGGCCCTTTACTCTTAGTAACACCCTGTTCCTAATTTTCTTCACCTTAAGCTTCCCTGCATATTTATTTTTACT